GCCCGCTCCGCCACCACCACCGGCCTACACCTCCATTCTCACGCCGTCATGCTTAGCTTTTTAAGAAACTGCCATACAGTTTTCCACAGTGTCCTATTTTATATTATCACCATAAACGTACAAGCGATCCAGTAGTTTCACATTCTCACCAGCCTTTGGTGTAATCAGCTTTTTTTTTTAGCCATTCTGAGAGCTTTGTAATTATATTGTACTGTGGTATTATTTTTTCCTACTGGTTAATGGTGTTGGTACTTTATTTGCCATATGTACATCATCTTCAGCTGAGCAAAATTATTCTTCATGATTTTTGTCCATTTTCTAATTGGATTTTCAACTTTTCGACTATTCAGTTTTTAAGAGTTCTTTATGTGCTTATCTATCAGATATGTAATTTGAAAATATTTTATCTCAGGTTATAGCTTATCTTTTCATTGTCCTAATAGAGAAACAGAATCTCTTGCAGAGCAAAAGTTTTTTAATTTTGATGATGCATCATTTATCAATTTTCCTGATTTGAACCATGCTTTTGATATCAAATCTAAAAGTTGTCTAGCCCTAGATCCGAAGATTTTCTGTGCTTTCTTCATCAAGTTCATAGTTTTATGTTTCAAATTTAGGATCTTTCAATATCTCTGCCTTTTCTTTTTCTTGACTTAATTGTACAGAGTCGTACTTCTAGCACCATTTTGAATTAGAGTGGGAAGAGTCACCTCCTCGTACTGTTCCTGATCTTTGGAGGAAGGCATTCAGCTTTCTACCATTAAGCATAATGTTAGCTGTAGGTTTTTAGTAAATGCACTTTATCAATTTTAGGATATTCTCTTCTGTTCCTATTTTTCTTAGTATGTTTATTATGAATGGGTATACAATTTTTGTTGAATACTTTCTCTGCATTGATATGATTATGTGATTTATTTTCTTTAGCCTGTTAATATGGTTGATGACATTCATTGATTTTCAAATATTAAACCAGCCTTGCATCCCTAGAATAAGCCTCACTTGGTCACAGTGTCATGGAGTATAATTCTCTTATATATTGTAAATTCTATATGCTAATATTTTGCTGATTTCTGTATGCATATTCATGAAGTACATTGGCTTGAAGCGTTTTTTTTCCCTACATTTTTGCCTGTTTTTGGTATTATAGGGTGTCTTTTTATGTTCTGTCTGCTGTAACAAAATACTTCTGATGGGGTAACTTAGAAACAACAAACTTATTTGTCACTGTTTTGGAGGCTGGAAAGACCAAGATAGGTGCCAGTGGTGTCTGCTGAGGGGCCACCCCTCATGGATAGGGCCCTTTAACTGTGTACTCGCATGGTGAAAAGGGCAAACATGCTCCGTCAGGCTTCTTTTCCAAGGGGACTGATTGTATTACTGAGGGCAGAACCGTGGGCTTCTTCCAGGAACACAAGGCTGGTTCGGTATTTGAAAATCAGCTAATATAGTTGGCCATATTAATAGGCTAAAAGAGAAAAATAACCATAAGCATTTGACAAAATTTTATACCCATTCATAATTAAAACTTTAAAAAAAAAAAAAAGATGGGCACAGTGGCTCATGCCTGTAATCTAAGCACTTTGGGAGGCTGAGGCAGGTGAATCACATGAAGTCAAGGGTTCAAGATCAGCCTGGGCAACATGATGAAACCCCTGTTTCTACTAAAAATACAAAAAATTAGCCAGGTGTGGTGGCGGTTGCCTGCAATCCCAGCTACTCAGTAGGCTGAGGCAGGAGAATTGCTTGAAACTGGAAGGCAGAGGTTTTAGTGAGCTGAGATCATGCCACTGCACTCCAGCCTGGGCAACAAGAGCAAAACTCTGTCTCAAAAAAAAAAAAAAACAAAACACCACCACCAAAAAAAAAAAAAAAAAAAAACCTAAAATTGATCAAGAACATATACTCATGTACTAAAGACCTACACTTTACATTATATTTAATGGCAAAAAGCTGAATGCTTTCCTCCTAAGATCAGGAACAGTAGAGCACTAAGTCTTAGTTTCATAATAGTATCACCTTAGAGGTCAGAATGTCAGAATATAAATTTGAGGAGGGAGCATAAACCTTCAGATTATGGCCTAGTATAAGACTTTAAAAAATGAATTGGGCTGTTCAAATTATTTATTTCATCTTGGGTAAGGAAATTTCAGTCATGTAATACGTGCTTTATGGCAGGTGAGCACAGGTACTATGAGAATCCATAGATGGCGCCTGATTCAACCTGGGCAGGAAGGTGAGATAGGGAAGGCCTGCTAGAGAAGATGATCTATTAGCTTGGTGCAAAAGTAACTGCGGTTTGGTAAAAACCTAATAGGGAAGAGTTAATAAGACAGTTTCATTATGAATATGAAACAGGGCAAGGCAGGCTACCTGGGTGGGTGGGTAAGAGATTAGGATGTGTTAGTAAGAGAGAACAGTGTAGAGGGGATGGTGGCAGGGTTCATTAGGGAGCCTGCATTTTTTGTTGTGTCCGGAGCTGAATGTGTGTCTGTTGGGGATTGGACAAAAGAGGATCTTGAGGGGAGAGAGAATAAGAGATAAGATTATATGTAAATAAAGACAATCCTGAACAGTCTGGTAGGGCCTCCTGAGGAGTTTGAACCAATGAGTATAATGGTGAGGAGTCCCAGCAGAGTGTCAAGCCCAAAAGAGACAAATGACAAATGACTTCATCATAGACAGTGGAATCTTTGCCTATGAGTACTCTCAGTAATAAGGTACGTAAAATGTAAAGTAAAATATATTCAACCAAAACTAGATTTTCCTTAGATCACATTTCCTTAGATCTCTATTTAGACTATAGAGAGGTTGTTCCTAACATAAGTAACAAATCCATTTTTTTTTTTTTTTTTTTTTTTTTGAGACAGAGTTTAGCTCTTGCTGCCCAGGCTGGAGAGCAGTGGCACGATCTTGGCTCACCACAACCTCTGGCTTCTGGGTTCAAGCAATTCTCTTGCCTCAGCCTCCCAAGTAGTTGGGATTACAGGAATGCACCACCACACCTGGATGATTTTGTATTTTTAATAGAGATGAGGTTTTTCCATGTTGGTCAGACTGGTCTCAAACTCCCAACCTCAGATGATCCACCGCCTAGGCCTCCCAAAGTGCTGGGATTACCAGCATGAGCCACTGTGCCTGGCCACAAATCCCTTTGTTAAAGAACCAAAACAATTCGGGTTGCCCACTTAGAAACTGAAGTCCAACTCTTATTCTTTTCCCACTGCCTAGGAAAATGTAAACCATTGGATGGACATACTTTCAGTGAAACATTTAAGTACTTTTTTCTTTTGCTTTCTTCCTTTTGACTATTCAATCGGGCATAATTTAGGTTTTTGTCAAAAAAAAAAAAATTAAATTACTAGTCAGTTGTCTCTTTTTAGATGTTTTAACATACATCTAGTGAACAATTGTGAACAAGACCTCATGGCTTGTGAGACACCTGAAATATCTCATAGTCTCATCCTACAAGTATCTGATGATTACAGAAAGAAGATACATGTGGGAAAAAAAATTATAATACAGGGTGATGTGTGATATCAAATAAGTAGAACTGACAATATGGGTGATTAAACTTTAGGGAAGGCAGAGAACACTTTAGACACGATGCAAGGGAAACTGGCTTTTTTATCTTTTCATTCAGTAAATATTTATTGAGACCCTTTCCTTGGCGTTGAGCCAGATAATACCCCAGTTCTCATGGGGCTTCTTTGAGGGAGATAGACATGGTAAAAATAAGAGAGTTTCATTATGAATATGAAACAGGGCAAGGTAGACTAAGTGAAGTGGGCACTATTTAATCAGGCAGGCTTCTCTGAGGAGGAGACATTTATTCTGAAACAATACCAAGAAGGAGCCAGCCATGATTTAAGATGATAATTCTAAGCAAAGGTACCAACCAGTCCAAGGAAGAAGCTTGGGGTATTTGAAGTTCAGAAAGAAGGCCAGTGTGGCTGAAGGGACTGCAAAGAACAAGAAGAAATAGTAGAAAATAAGATCAAATGTGTCTAGATCACAAATTTCATGGAAAGCCATTTCAGGATTTTAAGTAGAGGAGTAAAATAAAGTGTTTATTAAAAAGACAATCTGGTCCATGTGTGCTGGCTCATGCCTATAACCCCAGCACTGGGAGGCTGAGGCAGGCAGATCACCTGAGGTGGGCAGATCACCTGAGGTCAGGAGTTCAAGACCAGACTGGTCAACATGATGAAACCCCATGTCTACTAAAAATACTCAAATTAGCCAGCCATGGTGGTGTCTGGCTGAGGCACCAGAATCGCTTGAACCTAGAAGGCAGAGGTTGCAGTGAACCAAGATGGTGCCACTGCACTCCAGCCTGGAAGGCCAAGTGAGACTGTCAAAAAAAAAAAAAAAAAAAAAAAAAAAAAAAAAAAAAAAAAAGGCACTCTGGCTGGTGAGTGGAGAAAGGGGAGAGATTAGATTCAGGTGTGTCAAGTGCTACTGGGAGTACTAAGAGGTTAAAGAAATTGTACTTGACAGCATAGAAATTTTTGTGGCCCTGACAGGTGCTACTTCAGTGGAACAGGAGCAGGTGAAGTCCCAACAGGAGTTGTTTGAGGAGCAAGTGCAGGCCATGAAACACATTTTTGTGAAAGTGATTAAGCGTCTGTAAAAACATTCTGCTAAAACATCGCCTTCTGCTTAAAAATGTTGCATGCTCCTATTACATGTTTTTGAACAATGTTTTTTAAGTTGGAAGGAAGATTAGAGATCATCTAGCCCAGCGATCATAAACCCTTTCGTTTTCCAGATGGCCAGAATAAGTTCTGGGGAATTTAACGAGTTTCAGAGTCAGATGCCTAACTTATAGTTTGCCTTTCTTTTTTTTATTCTACACTGCTACTAATGATAACATTTATTCAGTGCTTACCAGTTGCCATATACGATGCAAAAAGCTTTATATATATTAATACGGTTTTCATGATCTCAAAGAATGTTCTAGTAAAATTTTCATTTACAGCTGAGAGAACGAAGGTGCATAATTTGAAGTATCTTGTTTAATGTCATATATCTGACAAGTTCTGTGGAGCCAGAATTCAAAATCCAGATTCTCAGAAGGACACATTCTTGCTCAGGATTTTATTCTACTTTGTTTAATTCCTCATTAAAACTCTATTTAAAATGAGTATCTGCATTATTGTGCAAACATTTCTGAGATCTCTTCATATATCTGGTCCCATTTAACCTTAGTCTATCCCTATATCACTTTTTGTGGAAAATGATATTTATGTTGGAGGTTCCGCTTGAGTATTCTTAATTTTTATTCTCCTTCATGCATACGGTGGTCAAAGTAAATAGCTAACATATTGGCACCAAACCATTGCCTATTGAAGCAAGCTTTGTATGAAACTGTTTGCCATTGACCACTATAAGAAACTCATTTGTAAAGATAAAATGTAAAACATCATTACTTTTGTGTAAGCTTGCCTGTCTCTGAACTTCATCTCTATCAGCATACTCAGTAAATTGCTTCTTTCCAACATTTATCTCCTATCTGGGAAGAAACGTTTGTGGGAGCATCTACCACACTGCAAAGATTTGACATTTCTCCTAAAAATAAAGGGGAGTTTCTTTTGGACAAAAGCAATGAATTTCAAGCAACAGTATTACTTCCCTCATGTCCTTTCCTTTTTTAAGCTCTGAACCTCAAGATTCGACTGGATTTTCATTGAAATTCACCACAATCCCCTCTGCAGCTGTGATCTCAAAATACCATTTCTGCATTTATTTTAGCCCATGGAATAACTGTGCTGAGAAACCACAGAGTCAATCAGACTCAAAAAAGCTTAAAATCCTTCCTGCTTGGAGTTTTCCATCTTCACATCAAAGCATTTCATGCCCGTCAGCAACTTTTTAATGCATTTGCTCCTCGTGTGCACAGCTTCCATTTAAAGACACTCCTTGGCTGACTTCCTGCTTGTCAGGAGAGCAACACTAATGCAGAAATTACAAAGAGGGCTTCGGGTCCCTTTTCTGGAGGATCTGATACTTCAGATAATGTCCGACTTCAGTTTTGGAGAAACCACCGTTCTTTGCACCAGGGGAAAGGGAGCTGGGTTTCAGTGTGAGCAACCTGTGAAGACAGAGATAAATACAAATAACTTAAATGAGAATGTCATTTAGGAAGAGAATTGACACACTAGAAGCACTTACTGGAATCCATACAATAATGTCATGTCTTTAATATGGGATTTAAAAATAGTTTTGTTTGGTCTAATTTAAGCTTGCATGTATACAATGGGGTTCAAGAAACTTGGCAAGAGGTGTCTTTTTTTTCTTAAACTGAATTAAACAATCTTGATTGCCTTCTTTCAATGAAAGGAAAAATAATACATATAACAATAGATTTGAAAAGGAAGTGCCCAAATCCCCAAGGGCAGTAATCTTCTGGAAAATGTTAATATTCATGAGTTATAGGAAAGTGATGAGAGCCAACATACCACTTTTATTTTTGGCTCCAAGTATTCAATTCTTTGCCTACAGCCAAACCAGGCCTTATAATAAAATTATTATTACTTAAAAAGTGAAAAGAGAAACCAAATTATTATTCAGGTTTTATAACTCAAAAATAATAAACCCAGAGTTTTATTTTATTGATATACCTTACACTTATACTAAGTTACTATGTAAAACTATGTTTGAAAGCAACTTTTTTGTTTCATCAAATCATAGTATTTCTGTACTAAACAATAGAGTTGAATGAAGTTTCGCTTAAATATCCTCATTTTATTCCTGTATTTGTCCTAAATCAATTCATCATGGTTCAGATTCAATATTTAGTTGATAATGAGTGAACTGGATAATATATTTACTAAATGTTCATCCTATGCTATATAATATTTGTAACTATACAAAATATAGAAATGAGGAGTTCCTATTCTGTGACTGCTAAATTAAGCACCTCTAGATCAGACTTTTTGTCCATTTTATATGTTTTCTTCCTTCTCTTAGGAAGCGTTGTGGTTTCCGAAATGGTGGAAATTTGAATATCTACATTTCACATCCACTTCTTGTGGGAGAGGTTCACGAAGAAGTGATTGGGAAAAAGAGCAAGGCTTGGTTTGACAGTGTGGTAAGTCAACAAAGGGTAAAAAGAGAGGGGTCCCTGTCAAATATATATATATATATAAAATATAATATATTATATAGATATAGATATTGTTCTTCCAAGGAAAGAAACATAGCCTCAAATTTGCTTTTCATCCTGTTCTGACATTGCAAGGAAAACATAGCGAAACTTCTTGGACCACTTTTATAACCTGCAGTGTTCTTATAGAGCTGCATTTTTTAATTTGCTTGCTTCATGGACTTTGAAGTCTGTAAAGTGCAAGAAACCCAAGTCTACAAATAAAAGCTTAAAATCATGGAGTTAATCTCAACAACAGGTGAGAAAGATGTAGCATGCAGAATGCCAAATTAATAGCTGATTAGCTGTTTTTTTAGCAATTAGTAGAGAGATCACTAGAATAGATACTTAATTAGCCATATGGTTTGTTTTACTGGGATTGGAGCTGCATGTCTCTCCCACTCTGTCAGACTTTTTGGGCTTCACATATATACATACACATATACATACCTTATAAGTTTTATTTTTTATGTGTATATAAACACTTTTGTATTTTGATTATCCAAAATGAGAGTTAGGATAATATGCAAATCATGTTCAGTTACATTGCTAAAAAAGTAAGAAAAACATAGCAGTCTAATTTCCATTCTTTGAAGAGCAGAAAGGATGGGAACTATTAGTTTCAAGTATATAAAGCGCACTGTTGTAATTCTTTCATATATTATAAAGGAATGTTTGTATTTTTTAAAAGATTAAAGCATGTTATACATCTTAGAAACAAGTGTCAAGAAAATATTTTTATGACTTAGTACTTTACTGGAGTATTTTTTTTAAATGTTCATTTACTTTTAAATGGGAGTAGTTTTATATTAACATAACTATTTTCTAGTCACAGCATGGATCTAGTAAGTTTAAAATAGAATTAACATAGTAGGATTCATAAATGTTCACTCAGGGAAAGCAAGCTACTTGGGATACAGATAACATCCTTACATCTGAACACTTATCACATAAAATCCACATTGAAAAATAACTAATATATATATTTTATTAAAGGTGAAGTTATACAAATTTAAAAACTAGCATGTAAGTAGAGCTGATGATTTTAAGAATGGTGCAAGCTCAAGCTCAGAAATCAAATTCTATAAAGTTGGTATTTAATCAAAGCTCTAAAATCTGATCTATCTATCCATCCATCCATCCTTTTCCTCTGCCATACAGCAGGCTATAACCACAAGCTGCTGAATTCAGGTTACCTGTTGAAGAATTATAACAGTGGTTCCCAACCTTTCTGGCACCAAGGACTGGTTTCATGGAAGACAGTTTTTTCACGGACCAGGGTGGGTTGGGGATTGCATTAGATTCTCTTAAGAAGTGCACAACCTAGATTCCTTGCATGCAGAGTTCACAATAGGGTTTGGGCTCTTATGAGAAGGTAATGTGGCCACTGAACTGATAATAGACAGAGCTCTGGCAGTAATGCTGGCTTGCCTGCCACTCACCTCCTGCTGTATGACCCTGTTCCTAACAGGCCATGGACAGGTACTGGTCCAGGGCTTGAGAACCCCTTCTTTTTTTAAGAAAGAATTTATTTTTGTATTCTTCAAAAGATTCCAAAGAAATGTGAGGAGGAAAAAGTACAATTATTTCTGAACCTTCCCATCAGCCTTATCACTGATAGAACTGGCCCATCGTGGACGGGCTTTGTCTAGGTTACAGAAAGTTGATGATGTTCTTTTAGTTTAATAGTTCATATGAGTCCTTTATTTCATTCATTTTATTCCTGTTTTTGTCATGTTATCTCTATTAGTCTGTTGTCATGTTTCTGAAGAAGACATACCTGAGACTGGGCAATTTACAAAAGATAGATTTTTTTGGACTTGCAGTTTCACATGGCTGGGGAGGCCTCACGATCATGGCAGAAGGTAAGGAGGAGCAAGTCACATCTTACGTGGATGGCAGCAGGCTGTCGGCAGCAGTCGGGACGGCACGTCTGCCAGGGATCTCTCGACCTGTAAGAGGGTCCCAATACCTGGAAGAGAGAGTGCGCTTAAAGAAATAGAGACAGAAAGCGGGGTCTGGAGGGCTGAGAAGGCAGTGCCCAAAACAGCAAATTTATTTTTCAAAGGCCTGAAATAAATACATTTTCTCTGCTCTGGTTTACGTCATTGCAAGAGGAAATGCAAATCTATACCTTACATGGCCTATACCAGGTGTCCCCAAACTACGGCCCATGGGCCGCATGCGGCCCCCTGAGGCCATTTTTCTGGCCCCACACCACACTTCAGGAAGGGGCACCTCTTTCATTGGTGGTCAGTGAGAGGACCACAGTATGTGGCAGCCCTCCAACAGTCTGAGGGACAGTGAACTGGCCCCCTGTGTAAAAAGTCTGGGGACACCTGGCCTATACAATAGAGAAGTCAGATACACAATCAGTGGTTGTAAAAAGTAATAGAATTTCCTGTGATCACAAAGCTTATTTACATCCAGACATTATTCCTCATGGCTGCAGGTATTTTTGGTTTGATCCTGTTTTAGAACTCACATGTGAAAAGGTTTTCTGGTTTTGCTCATCAGAATATCTTTTTACCAGATTCTCCTTTGTCTGCTCCTGACTCAACTTATCTCAACTCCCCCTATTCAGGCGTCTCTGTGCCTGGGATCAAAGCCATCCATAGAGTGGCATTTGCTTTGCAAATATCCACATGGTAGGGTTCCCCACAGTTAAACCATTATCTAGGGTAGAAGGCAGTCATGCAAGTAAAGAAAAGGTTAAAGCTATTCTTAAAGAAAGAGTCATAAAAGTTAAAAGCAGAAACTGGTTGCTGGTATGGAGTCACTCAGTCTAGCAACACCGCATAGTTTAGGCCCAAATGATATCGTGGTTAATATTAGAAACTGATCAGTCATCTTTAAGTTCCTTCTTTCCCATAGCTCGACTGTCTCCAGCAGGAAACCGTGTTTGGGATCAAGCTCACTGTATAGTGAGAGCCACGTCTTTTGGGGGTCCTACATGGGAACGTTCCCCACAGCAGGCAAAGAGAGTGCTTGTGCCGGAGACTTCCATTTTCAAAACCATCAGATCTCATCAGACTTATTCACTATCAGGAGAATAGCACGGGAAAGATTTGCTGCCAAGATTCAGTTATCTCCCACTGAGTCTCTCCTACAACACTTGGGAATTATGGGAGCAACAAGATGAGATTTGGGTGGGGACACACAGGCAAACCATATCATTATCCTTTTTATGAACGAGTTACCAATCATATGTAGTCCTTATTTTTTCAGAAGCTTACAGTGAAATGACCTTCCTCAGGCAAGAATACCTAAATATCACAATGCTCAGATTTTGAGTCCCTTTTACAACGGATACATTCTCTATCAAATCAGTAATGTTGAGTCAGACATTTTTGTTTTGCTTTGTTTTTCAGGATGAAGGTGAAATCTGACAATTCAAAGTAATAGTGAGGTTCATTTGACCAAGTACTTACTGTGGACTCTAGGACCATTTATTCAAATTGCTGTCTTTGATTAATTCAAGAACATTTGGTGCCTTTTTTCTCCTAGCTTTCTTCAACAACTGTCATTAATCACAGAATTTGGCAACAATCTTTCTACCAAGGCCATGAATAGTTTTTGAATGAATGAGGTTTATTTCTTTGTGTTAAGTTTCTGTACCCCAAGGCTATTAAAATTTCATAGTTTCTCCACGTTCTTCAAAGCTTTCAACTTTTGGCTAAAAACGTGACAGAACAAGATCTATTATCTGGGTCTATGAATTAATCTGCACTCAAATGCCTGGTGATTATGGCAGTTAAACCTGTTTATCAAACCACACTGCTTTTGGAGAAAGTATTTCTGAAAGTTGTGTCTATAAAAAGGGTAGAAAAGACTCCCGGGTGATCAAAGCATTTGGATCAGGCAGCCATTCAACCACATGGACTATTAGGACAAGGACTAGGCCCCACAGAGTAGCTAAGTTTATACAACGATCCAAAGGAGCCAAAAGATCAGAAAATAATAGGATTAGTTGTCTGTTTTATTGTTCTGGGATTCTGTTTCTAGATTATGAAAGATCAAAGGGGTTTTTCACCTCTTCTCATGTTGACGTCTAGAACTTTCTTTCCAACTAATGTGGTAGGGCTTATCAGTATATGATGAAGATTTGGATTTTGCATCTGGCTTTTAAACTTTTGTGTAAACTAGATCTTTATCCTCTCACTTCATCCTCTGGATATGGAAGGCAGCTAAAACATCCCCTCCTCATCTTAATCTCTCCTTCTTTGCATGGCAATAAATCAGAATTGTTGCTCTTCTTTCCCCCAGTTCTCTGACTTTTCTTATCTGTTTCTCACTTCCTTTCTTTTCTGCTCTACCTACTGCCCTGCTCCCATAGTTCCAAATGACCTGTAGAAGGCCTTCCTCACCCATGCCTATCCTAGTATTCATCAGTTGGTAGAGGGACTTCCTGCTTTCTCAAAGACTTCTCAACATAGGGAAATGCATAATAGAAGAGAAAGAGAAATATGGTTAAGCAAACTTAAGGATTTAGAGTTTTTGGAGAATGTTCAAAAGAGAGTTGTGAAATCTATGAGAACGTTTTAAAAGAAATAAAATAGCCTTACTAAGAGCTAATGGGGGCTAGAGATTGTTGTGGAGTACATGTCAAATTATAATGCCTGGAAGCAAAGCAACAGTCTGGTTCCCAAAATAATATGAGGAAAAAGATATGGTCAAATTGTCATAAATTCCATGTTTTTGTGGTAAGAATGTTGTGGCCAATACAAAAACAATAGGTCAAACTTGATCCAAACTTCAGATGACTGAACCATACATGGAGAGAAAGAGAAATTCAAAGCAGAATAAATCCTCCACAAGGATTGTTGTCCACTGCATTTTAACATCATTAATTTGGGCAATTACCTCAATGCCCAATTAATACAATGTTAGTATGGATTTCTAAGCCCACATTGCTCACCTGATCCTGTGGACTCTTATTATTCTTGTGGTTCATTCTGTTATGTGCCAGGTGATGGAGATACAGTGATGATTTAAAATTAACTGGATATCTTCCTATACCTCAGCCCCACCTTAGATGTAAGGATCAACTCCATTAACAAATATAAAACAACAAATACAGGAGTTATTAAGAAATAATTTTTAGGTAGCTAGAGGGGGTAAACATTCTTGGTGGTAATTTTCCTGTCATAAGAACCCCCAAACCATTTCTTTTCTAACAGAAAGGCAGCCTGAAGGGCCAGGCTGGCAAGCTTTGATATGCAAATACAGGCCATTAGAAACCGGGTCTGCCCAATATGGCGATTCCTGCCTTCTTGTCACCATGAGTACCAAGTGTCTTGGCTACCTCCAGATAACTCCCTCTGTTCAGGACATCATGGCAGCTCTCATTTGCATATTAAAAGACTAAGGTGGGAGGACCAGGTTTTTTGTGGGCTATGTGAATGACACACCTGGTCAAACCAATCCCCTGGGCCCTGTGCAAATCGGACACCACCTTCCCCAGCCTCCAGTATAACCAACCATTTTTCTATCACACACAGGGTTTCTGTCTTGGAGCCTCCCTCCCTCTTGTCTCCATATGGGGAAGCTTCTTGCTTGCTTGTTAAACTTTCTGTTAAAACCATTCCACGTGTGTTCATGTCATTTTATCTAAACCAGCAGGAGACTAAGGACCCTGGTGCTCCTCCAGTCTTTTCAGCAGCATCACAACTACCCTGAGAGGTGAGCTGTACTACCCTCATTTTACAGAAGATAAAACTAAGGTTCAAAATGGTTAACTATCAAAGGTTACATGCTAATAAACATTAAAGCTTAGACTTTAGGCCTGACTTCATTGATAGGGCATTTTATCAATTACATATATTTATAGTTCTAAGTCCATTGTTAAAAATGATGGTGTCCTGCCCAGAGATTTGGGATTTTTAATTCCAGGATGGTTTAGAGATACATGACATGAAAGGAAGGGGGTCATAGTTTTTAGGTCAACAGGTCATAGAATTTTGATTCACCTTCTGCTGACCTTTTTAAATGAAATGACATGGATAATCAGGGTCACTCTTCCTGGAACTAGATAGAAAGCAGTGATGTTTCCTTTAGCTATTTAAGGAAAAGCCTCTTACATTCATGGGGAGCTTATTATACAGGGCAACGTGACAGGCAATGGGGATATAAAATAAATGATTCCCTATCACAAGGTGTTTTTAGTCTCAAGGAAGAAATAAATATACAAAGGAGTAAATTCTGTCAAGTTTAAGGCACCACTGATTTATTTTATCTCTTACTTTCCTTTTTCAAGGAAAAAATATGTCAATTAAACTATATCATGCTGTCAGTGGTAGGATTTGAATGTTCCTTTTAGAATCAGTTATGTAGAGTACATGCTATGCCAGATGTGAGTGCATGTATAGCAATGGTATTACAGCTGGGATGAGGATGGACCCAGAGGACAGTGGGATAAATCTTTCTAGGCCAAGTGACCTTTGAATGTGGAAAGGTAAGGAGAAAGTGGTGTGAAGAAGAGATGTGCAGGCTATTCCATACAGAATAAACAGAATGGGTGAGAAAGTATGCCTGTATAGCTGGGACCCACCCTGGTGTATCTTGGGATTATGAGGAGATGGGGAGGCTGGAGCATCATCGGGGGCCTGGAGGCAGGATGGGGTTAGAAATAAGGCTCCCAAGGTACAGTCCAGACTGAAGGTCTTAAAGACAATGCTAAGGAGTTTACATTAACTTATTGCCGACAGTGGGAAGCCACTGGAGAAATTGAAGCAGGAAGTTGAGTCTGACATCCTTTTCTTCTTTCTTTTTGGGTACGCTCCTATCAGAGGCTTTGCAAAGAGCTACTTTAAC